ATTAATTTTTAAAAATTTAAAAAAAATATTAGCACCACACAAAATGCTCACACAGTACTTAAAAAAAAGTCCAACTAAATCTAGGACAAGGGCTAACAGAAGGTTAAGAGTATTTCTGATTAGTATGAGGACTGAACGAATTTAACAGGCCTAAGACTGCTGTCATCTGAAATGTGTATTCACAAGGCTAGGCAGTATCTAGATTTCAAGAGGCTCTGCTTTTCATAAGAATGTATCACTGTATCTAACTTGTGCAAATAATATGATTTATTGTGAATACTTTTGAGTCTAGAACTTCAGTCCATGCTAGGCAGAGAGTGTTAACACTGTCAGTCTCCAATAAAAATACAAGCTATGAGTCTTTAGTGATCTTCCCTGAGGGCCTACAAGCCACAAACACATCACAACTCAGTGCTGGAGGAATTAAATACATGGTGTGGCTACTACACTGGGAGGTGACTCTTGGGAACCTAGTTTCCTTGGATTTTACTCCACTTTCTGTTTCCTTTGTTACATTTCTTATTCTCTCTGTAATAATAATGGTTGTTAAGTACCATTATATGCTAAGTCCTGTAAGCCTTCTTAGCAAATCATCCAACAACAGGGTAGCCTTGGGTACTCAAGACCCAGACAGCAAGTCAATGTTTTATTTTCCTTATTTGAAGTTTCAGGTATTATTTAGCTTTCTCTCAATGAGATGGACTGATTTAGTGCTGGGGTAAATACGGGGGCAGGTGTGTCGGAGATGGTGAGATCAGCACAGGATAAGGCAGAGTTTAGGGATGTTGTACAAAGGGGTTACTATGAGTCACAGGCGACTCGACAGCACATAACAACTACCAATTGTTGTGGGTTGTGTGTTGGGTTGTGGGGTTTTTTTTAATACTTCCTATGAAAGAAGCAGCTGTTTTACTCTGCATCCCTTCTTTTACTCCCAACACTTAATGCATGCAGCAACTATCTGCTAAATGCTAAAAGAAGCCTCCTGACAGAGTGGTTAAGTGTTTGGCTGCTAACCAATGGTTCGGGGGTTCAAAGACATCAGTCACTGCAAGTGAGCTTCGTAGTAAGTACTGCTACCTTAGAAACCTGCCCTACAAGGTGGCTGTGACTGAGCATCAAGTTAATAGTCAGGTAACTGATGAGTCTAGCTGGAAGAAAAACAGGAAGGTTAAGATCAAAGCTAAACTTTCCCACAAAAATAGATTTACCAAAAGCATGCTAAAATGTGTGAGGTGAGCAGAACATGTCAAAGAGAATGATTAATGAACTAAACTAAGCGGTAAACCAACTTAAAAATTATCTGAACATGGCAGCAATTCTGTGAGATCAAAAATTATCTACTTGCAAGAGTTTGAACAAATATTAATAAAAAATTATCCCTTAAAAGTGCCACAGTGAATGTGGGGCCTTCATGGAGGAAGAAATGGGAGTCAACAGCCTAAAAGGCGATGAAGCAGGTCCATCTAGGCAAATGGTGCTGGAAGCTGCAGTGGCCCCGCTGGCCTCACACGGCCGCTCCCCACGCCCCTGGGCGGTCTTGGCTAAGGGTCATTGTCCAGTGGGCAACTCAGAGGTCCAGCAAGGTCCATTCTAGAACGAGCGCCCTGAAAGCCCAGGATGTCGGCTTGCAAGAGGCACCAACCCCAAGATGAGCCAAGGCCACCACTTGTTGCAGGGGTCTGTGGTGGCGCGAGGGTGCATTCAGCGGAGTAGACTTCCAACGCGGCCGCTGTTCAGGAGGGACAGATGCGCCATGGAGGACGTCCCCGGCCTCCCTCACGGCCCCGCGTTTCTCAGCTGTAAAGCGGGACACCCAGTGGGGGCAGGGCAGCGCGCGGACGTGGTCAGAAACCTGGGTTTGGAGGTACCAGGGGGACACGGAGGACCCTCATGCCGGGGCTGGGGTCCACCCACCCAGGCGACCACGAGGCGGGGCCCGTGAGGGTCAGGGCCTTGCACTGTGGAGAATGGGGTGCGGGTTCAGGGGTCTGTGGGAGGTGGAGTCAGGGGTGCCGCAATCTGTGCAAGTTGAAATCCGGGGTCTCGGTCTACCACCCCGCCCCCATCCAAGAGCAGGGGGCCTTCGCATCCCCTCGGCGCCATTAGAGTTACCGGAGCCGTTGGGGCCGATGATGCAGGTGAACTTCTTGAAGGGGCCGATGGCCTGGCGGCCCCGCCAAGACTTAAAGTTTTCCACAAGCAGCAGTTCCAGGTGACCCATGGCCTCGCTGCGGCCCGTGGCTCCCCAGCGTCCTCACACGCGGCAGCAAAGCGCGGGAAACGGCCAGGCGCTCTCGCGAGAAGACGGCCACCCCACCCGGTGCGCATGCGCTGTTTCCTAGCCGCCGGAGCTGTTGGTGGCGCTGCGAAGCCGCGTCTCGGCGGGCGTAGGCTGGACGGTGGTTACCTTCGGGCCCGCCGACGCCCAGCTCGTTCACTTTTGTTCACTTCCAATCCTGATCCCGCCTGGGATCTGAAGGCGACTCCCAGAGCCATGCAGGTCGCGCTGTCCAAGAACCTGGCGCAAAACACTGGCCTGGCCAAAAGACAGCACGGGGAGCTGTGCCGGCAGAAATGGATTTCAGCGCCCGAGCCTGGATTATCGGGGTACAGCCCGAGAGGGGACAGGGCAGTGAGTGAGCAGCAGCCTTTTGAGGATTTGGTTGAGGCAGGGCGGTCAGCGAGCACAGAGGGGGGCCAAAGGGAAATCAGAGGCTGTTCTGAGGACGACCTTATGTTCACCCAAATAAAGGGGCAGAAAGATCTGAGGAAAGTACAGGTTGCAGAGATATCCAGGGATGTGTGTCCTCTGTTTACAGTGGGACAAGGCTGCACGATAAGTAAGATTGTTACCAATGGGTTAGAAGTAACCCCTCTCTCCTGGTTTTCTGTTCCCAGTGAGACCCACATGCCTGGGACGTCCAGGTTCAGAAACAGAAAATAAGAGAAGCAACTGAAAAAGCTAGACATGAAACCTTTGGTGAGCATTTCTTGAGGGACTGTCTAGGGGTTGTGTGACTTCCAACACATGTCCTGATTCCTACATTTATGTGAAAAACGTATGTTCACGCTTCTTACTCTTTTACAATTACATTCTTTCTTGAACCCAACAAAGTGAGTGAATTACCACTTTTAAAAACAGCCCAGTGAATTTTTATGTGAACCCAAGAACATCTGTTTTAAAGGTAAAAGTTCAAATTTTCTCAGTAAAGCCACATGTGAAGAGCTTTAACACACGGAAGCATGCCCACGTACACATTTGCTGCCAGAACCATCCCTGGAAGATGGTTATACACAGAACATCCTGGTTTTTTCCCAGTTGACACATACACCCCTGAGCTTGTACTCTTGAATGGACTCAGAGATGGGTATGGTTCACATAAATGCTCTTTCTCTTAGTTGGAGTACTTGCAAGGTTTCAAGCACTAAATGTGCTTGGCTAATAACATGTGGTTCAAATCTATTCTTCAAATCTGTAGGATCGCTATGTGTCATACTAGACTCTGACACAACAACAGAGTATACGTAAAAGTGGGTTGTCAGTTGATTTTAAAAAAAAGCATGCAGAAGAATGTGGAAGGAACTAAGGAACTACAACAAAATGTTTGTTGCTGGGTGCCATTGAGTCAATTCTGACTCCTGGTGACCCTAAGGGACAGTAGAACTGCCTCATGGGATTTCCAAGTTGTGATCTTTAGAGAACACTAGGTCTTCTTTTCTATGGAATCACTGGGTGGGTATGAACCTCTAGCCTTTAGGTTATCAGCTGAGCACTTATTCATTCCATAACCATGGCTTCTTACCAGAACATTGCTAGACTTGAGAGAGTGGGTACGGATATATACATATGAATATATATCTGCAAATATATAGATGTACATATGTTCCTGGTTGGTAGAAACAGTTACTATGCTCAACTTCTAATTGAAATGTTGACAGCTTGAATCTAATAGAAATGCCTTGAAAGAGCCTTTGTCAACCTCGTGGAGCACATTGGTGACACACAGAGAATCATCGTGAGTGGAAGTTGATTCTGTGATAACTGGTGTAAAGCCATAGGAGCTGGGGCTGCCCAGAGTGTGCTGTGTTGGCTGCTGTCTGAAAGATGGTCAGTGTGAATTCACCAGCCACATTATAGGAATGAGATTGGCCATCTCCTCCTGTAAAGGTTTATAGCCGTGGATTTACAGGGTCGCCATGGGTTGGAATATACTTGACAGCAGTCAGGTTTTAGTTTTTATTGGTGTGATACCTGTAGTATGCAATGTGGATTGAAGCTCAGCATCAAGAAAATGGAGATTCTCAACCACTGAGCCAGCTGACAACATCTTGATTGATGGAGAAGAAATTGAGATTGTCAACAATTTCAGCTTGCTTTATTCCACATTGAACACTCTTGGCACCAGCAGTCAGAAAATCAAAAGACAAATTTCGTTAGGAAAATCTGCTGTCAGGAACCACTCCAGAGTACTGAAGAACAACAATGACAGTCTAGAAACTATCTAGGTGCACCTGATCCAGGCCATGTATGGTCTTCTCTATTATATGGTAAGCATCAGAGAGCTGTACAGTGACCAAAGATGACAGAAGAAGAATTGATGCTTTTAAATGTAGTGCTGGAGAAGAGTATTGAACATACCATGGACACCAAGAGAACTAACAGGTCTGTCTTGAAGAGGGTGAAACAAGCTGCTTCTTGGGGGCAAGGATTTTGAGGCTCGGTGTCTCACATACTTTGGGCACGTGGCCAGCAAGGGCCAGTACTTGGAGATGGATGTCATGCTTGGAAGGGTAGAGGGACAGCACAGGAGAGGAAGACCCAGGATGAGATGGGTTGACACACTGGGGTAATGAGAGTAGGTGTATTAGAGACAGATTGACTCAGGATAGCACAGGGTTCAGCACTATTGTGCGTTGGGTGGCTATGAGTCATAGGTGACTTGATGGCACATAACAACTTCTATATCTGTGTAGCTGAGGGCGCACCCCCTGGGCCCAGTCCCCCGGCCTCATAATTTTTCTCTTCTTCAGAGGTATGCATCATTCCCACAAGTACTTTGATATAACATATGGGAGGATTTTTCTGCTCTTTTCAGTGTTGACATAAAAGCTATCTCATTTAATGACGCCTTTGGTTTTATTTTTTTTATGCAACATATTTTTTTAAACTAATCCATGGTCTACAGGAAGTATTCTTTTTATTTGAATTAAGTATGTTTTCTTTATCCATTTCTCTTGGAAGGTGAATTAATCTTTGCATGGTTACAGATAGGGTTGCTGTGTTCAGCCTTGCATCTGTTGTGCATATGTGTGAGAGGGACCTAAAAGTGGGCCTGACAGGCTGTGTGCACTGTCTCAGAGTCATGGGGTATGTCCACATTGCTGCAGGAAATGTCTTGAGCACACTCTGCCTGCATGAGTAAGAGGCCTCGCTTCCCACCTCCATTTTGGTACTCACCAGTAAATACCTCACCAGCTCAGTGGATGCTTCCCATCCTGTGAGGCTGATCTTTTCACAAGCTTATTGATCATTCAGGTTTATTGTAAGCAATTTCTTTGTCCTTTTGCCCATTTTTTTTTCAGTTGGGTTATTTATTTTAATTTGTAGTTGCTCTTTGTCCATTAGAAATAAACCCAGTGGTTTCTGAAATAGTTCCGACTCATGGCGCTTGTAGCTTTATGTAGCAGCTTTTTTAGAACCACTATCTAGCCGCCCGGGACCTGGGGTAGCCACTCAGCCTTTGCTATTTAATGTTGCAACAACATACCTTTCATTTTTCCTACTGTAACAGATGTTTCCACATAAAAATGAACAAATGTCAGTCTCTGGTTCTTGCTCTTTGGCAATTACTGTTGCTGGGCTGGCTTCCACCCTCCCCTTTGTTAGAAAAGCCACCCAGACAGTGAGGACAGAGTGCTGAGCCCATGCTGAGGCCTCGTGTGTGCACCTCTGGGATGTTTGGGAGCCCTTCCCAGCCTCACACACCCCGGATGTGTGCCAGTTCAGAACCAGGTCCATTCCTCCTTGTCTGCTGCACTGTGGTTACAGAAGCTTGGTTTTAAAGTTGCAGATTTTATTGGCCTTAAAGATTTCAAGACCCTCCAGCATTGTCTGTTTAAACAGAAGAAATACCAAACATCTTACTTCAGCTATCAAAGTATCTGCAGCTGGATTCCACATCAGAAGCTCCTTGGAAACCGGGGTCGAGGGTGGGGAGGTGCTTCCCTGGTAGCACAGCGATTAAGCACTTGAGTGCGAACTGACAGGCTGACATTTCAAAGCCACCAGCTGTCCTTCAGGTAGTTTGCTCCAAGTTGAGTGGTTTGGGGTTTAGCTGTGCACTAGAGACTTTGAAATCCCCTCCACAATGAAGCCAGAGCCATTGTCTACAAAGGTCGGAGTCCATTATGGACACTTGCCAGTCCATTCACACCATGCAGGTAAGGCTCCCAACAGCCTAAAGGGTGCCCTCAGACCGGCAGGTGTAGCTGGAGGGATAGAATCTGGCCCCCTCACCCAAGTGGGGGACCCAACCAGGGCACCCCGCAAAAACAGCCCATAGGTTGTCCTCACAAACACTCTTAGGAGAAGTGGGTTACAGCCACCACCGGCAGACACAGTATAGGATCTCAGTGAAGATGCAGCCAAGGAAGAAATGCTCAAGAAACCCTGAGGACATGGGGCTTTCTATCTGGAGTCACTGCCAGCTGAAGTCGTGGTCCAAATATCCACTCAGAGTTGTGCAAAAAGCTCGGCAGAAAGAGGGTCCCCAGGGCTCCTCCTCACCTACTCCTGCTGCCCAACACCACTACTCTGGAAGTGAACTCTGCTTTTAACTGTTTTGTTTATGTGACTAAATGCTAGTTGCAGCCATTGAGTCTTTGAATCTACACCCAGTCACATCAGCAGTACCGGCTCCTCATCAGAGGGAAGGTGCATGTTCCCAGAGCTCTGGATCATCTAGCAGTTCCAACTTGGTGACCCATAGGACAGCAGGGCCACCCCACAGGATCCAAGCGAATTTCCTGGACACAGAGTGCCTCCTCTCTCACTAGATTGGTGAAGTCCAAATCAGCCTCCTCCTGAGGAGCAGGCAAGCACATCTAAGCACTGTGCCACCAGGCCTCAAACAAACAGGCTCTCAAAGATCCCTGGTGAACCGCCAAGGCATTTACTACAGTTTTCTACTTAAACAAACAAAAAAAAGCCACCAAAATAGT